TGAATTTTCGATACTGGTTCCCCAGCTCGTCTTCAGACAATGGGTGTGCAAAAACAATTAACTTTTAGACTGAGTCTAGCAAAAGGAGCCCATGATTGGTTAAGGTTTTCATCTCGGGATTGGCTGACTCAGTTTGAATCTGTCCTTAACGATTTTGTATGCGGCATCTAGATCGATATGCCGGTTGATGCATGCCTCATCTGAGTGCATTGCCTCCAGGAATTCGCGGCCTTTTCTTGTTTGGCAGGCGCCAACAATGCGAGTGTTCACAATAAAATTTTGCTGTTTTCCAAAGAACTTCACCTTTCTAAATATATATTTATATATATTTTGAAATCAAATACGTTTTTTGGGAAAGGGAGAAAACTTTATTGAGTAAATTTTCGACGTCGGTTCCCCGTGTCATCGTCAGACTAGAGTAAATGTGCAGAAAACAATTACCATTTCAAACGTGCTACAAAATCAATATTTATTTGGTGCCTCAGCTAGTAAGCTGCCGTTGTATGTGTCAGTCCGTATTGATCGGCTTTCGTCTCTTCCACTTTTCTCTGAGATTCTTGTACGTGGCATCTAACTCGATATGCCTGTTGATGCATGACTCATCGGAGTGAATGACTTCAGGAAACCCTCGGCCTTTTTAGATGGACAAACTCCGACGATGTTAGTTTTGTCCCATGCGAAAGTGTGCCATACCACTCGATTTCGCAAGGCAATGCGTAGATGAACTCCTGAAATCCTATGACACGGATGTTCCTGCAACTGCCTTACTTGAACTTATGGACCTTTGTTTAGAAACCAATTTTTCGTTCGATCACCAATATTATCAACAACTAAAAGGTGCTCCAATAGGATCACCCATATCTGGCTTTCTTGCCGAGGTGACAATGCAGAAATTAGAATCGGTAGCTCTTCCATTAGTTAACCCTAAGTTATGGGTACGATATGTAGACGACACGTTTGTCGTCGTTAAAAAGGATCAACTAGAATTACTTCACATTACAATCAATTCAACCATTCCGGGAATTAAATTCACGTTGGAAAAAGAACTTGACAATAAACTACCATTTCTAGATGTTCTCGTGCAACGTAAGACTGTCGGAACATTACACACGTCCGTTCACCGCAAAGAAACATATGCAGAAATTATCCTTTACTATGAGAGCAATAGTCTGATCTCTCACAAGTGGGAGTACTGTCAAAAGTCTGATACATCGAACAAAAACTACACAGTTGAACTAAACTACCTGTTTGAATTATTTTCCCAGAACGGTTAACCTGGAGATTTCGTACGTCGATGCATGATACAACAAGTAATAAAAACAAAGGAACTAGACAGTTCCAATCAAGCGTCCAAAGCAAACACTTGGCGAACCCTTCATTACATCAGGAATGTGCCTGAACTTGTTTCAAGACACTTGAGGAAACACCAGATAAAAGTGGCGCACAGGCCGACGACTGCTTTACGCACTCCGCTTGTACACTCTAAGGATAGGGTTGACTATTTCGACAAGAAGGAATTTGTCGATAAGATCTCTTGCGATGCCTGTGATGCCATATATTGTGGCCAAATGAGAAACCTTGCCTGTACACGCATTCGCGATCACCAATTGGCAGTTAAGAAGCGAGACTACCTGTCTCAAATGGCCATGCACACTGTTGATACTGGGCACATTTTCGCATGGGACAAAACTCGCATCGTCGGAGTTTGCCCCTCTAAAAAAGACCGAGAGTTTCTTGAAGCCATGCATCAGCAGGCATATCGAGTAAGACGCCACATACAAAAATCTCAGGGAAAAGTGGAAGAGACGAAAGCTGATAAATACGGACTGACGCACACGACGGCCGCCTACTGGCTGAAACAACGAACAAGTCATGATTTTGTTGTACGTTTAAATATTAATTGTTTTCTGCACATTTACTAGTGTCTGACGACGACATGGGGAACCGACGTCGAAAATTTACCGAATAGAGTTTTGTACTTTTCCCAAAGAACGTATTTGCTTTCAAATTATATTTCTTAGGATACCTGCGTTCCTGGAACTCGCCTCTTCGCCTCTATCGACCACTGGCATTGTATGCATGAGTGCTAGTGTTTCTGATTTCAGAAGGTAGCCAGAGCAATTATTGGTTAAGTAACGATGGAAAAGGTCCGGCACAGCGCTGTATCCCCAATTTTGTGGAAACCTCATCTTCCTCAGCTGTCTGAGGAACGTGTTTCTTTCGGGAAACTAAGGGACAAGTGTGCCTCCACCGACCGGCTTACGAGACCTGTTTCTCTTACTTAGAGCTTTTGAGCCCCGCAGTCAACTGGTAGAGTCTTAAACAGAGTAATTAAAGATCTTCGGTTAAAATCCCAGTTGCTCTAGACCTGGGGTTGGACACAGCTGGTCGGTGATGGTAAATAAGCCAGAACTGGCTATGTCAGTCTCCTTCGGCCGAGCACGCGACAGTACTGAGGAGGAACGACTCAAACTCCCAAGTCGTGGCTCATTCGACGGGACCCAATTGCGCATTCAAGTTTGACGAAGCAGAGGCGACAACTGCATGAGCCATGAACTGCTCGAATCATGGTTTTCCGGTCCTCATTTAATCAATAAGCCCAACGACCTCGCCGCTCCATATTCGGCGCTCAGACTTAGTCTAGGCAAAGTATTTAACCGCGCGAAGAACGTGCGGATAACCACTGTCCCCGGTATCAATGTCGGCGAGCCAAATCACCCAAGAGTCCACACGGATGACGAAGTTCGGTAGTCAGCCTCTCGGCGGCGTGCGATGAATGTAGGAGCCAACAATGTTGACCGGCATACAGGCGTATAGCAACGGCATACTTCAACACCTGGTCAGTCGAGCTGTGATGCACTCGAGAGCCTCCAGCTGTGATAGGCATGTAGCGACCAAGCAACTACATCCTATAAATACTGCAACACCTGAGCAATCCACTACCCTTATCTGACTTCGTCCCTGGTGATGGATTCAAGTGAGTATCCGAACCGTCAGGCTAATCAAGCACTCGTTCTAGCGATCGTGTCTCCTTCTTAATGACTACTTCCTGGAACTCGTCTCTTCGCTTCTATTCGTCTCCTTTGCCTTTGTCCGTTCAGACATTCATGACAAACGTTCTGTCTCACCAAGCGCAGGCGTCTGTTTTGGTAGGTTGTTGAGTTTGTGGGGCGTAGGTCTGGATAATCGACAGAGTTTCAAGGTTTACGTTTGGCTGGCCGCAGTACTCCGGTTACCACTTTTGGTAAAATTCAAATCAAACTCAGAAAACCCTGCCTCGTGTAGGTGTTTCTACGTTCACTCACTACTATTAACCGAAACCATAAGGCCAGAACATACATAAAGCTGACCTCTTGGAGGATATCCTGAGCGTCCACATCACGAACGATGTCCTCTTTGCTGGTTTCCTGAAGCTCACCTGCCAGTATTAGTTCGTCAAGCACAAAGTAGGCCTTCTCAAAGTGAAATATGATATCCAATTCGCACACCTGAAAAATAAATCCGCAATAATAGACGCAAATAAACAATTGAGGTTATTAAGGAAGTTTCCGGTATTTCTTTCTTCTGCTGCTGCTGCTGCTGGAACTAATGGAAGGCGGAAACAGTATCGTTTCCATCCGACGTGAGTGTCGAAATAAAGGGACAGCTGTAGGTTTTTCCGAAACTGCGCCGTCATGAAATGCAGCGTTAGGTGTCAGGGTTAAATATTTGCATTCTAATAACTGCCGGAGTTCGACCACTCTGAAAGATATAGTAAGTACTTATGCATCAATTTGCAACATAGAGGCGGAAAGAAACTGTCGAAATATTCCCATTTGCATACATCACACACAATACATCGGTTAAGACCAGAATGTGTTCACCATCGCGGACCTGCAGGTGCTGTCATATGACAATTCGGAGGAATGCAGTATAGATGAGGTTCACGAGTCCGCCCTGCTTATTGATGAGGTTTTTGTGTGTGGAGAACTCATACTAGATGGCGAGTAGTATCTGTCATGCGATGAGATACGTACCAAACGTCCCCAAACAGGGTAAAGCCCTGTTGAAAATTCATAGCCACATCAACATCACAAAGTGTCACATTAATGACAAGATCGTTTCTAATTGTGCCGAATTTCAACGCACGTTCTGAACGTGTAGTTTCCTGATTGAATACCTTTGCCAATAGCTAATATAAACCAATACGCATGTGACGCAAAAGGATTTCATCGTCAATAATGTACATCCAGGGTCAAGATTAACCCAAATGATTATAATCAATGCTGCATTAAGACCGCGAAACTAACTACTCACTAACAGAGATGCAAAAATGGCCGTTTTCGAAAACGGTGGATGGTGACAATGAAGGAATCCTGGGCGTGAATTGCAAATTTTTTGCCAATGTGTGACGCGCGTTATGAAACTTAGTCGTCCAAAATTTGGCTGTTAAAACGCAGGAGATCTTCACGCACACTCCATCATCTAATTTGGATGTCAAACAATTGTGCAAGTTTCGAAGGATCGGAGAATATTTGAGACTTTTGGTTGCAAGCAGATATAATTCTGCATCACGACGACTGTTTAAACTGGTGTGTCTTCTGGCGCACGCATCAGAGCCATAGATTAGTTAAATTAGTTAAATCAATAAGGAGACTATCCCGAAATGCAATCGTCTGCCCCTCCTTTCTGGCTTTTAAACAGATAAAAGGTCTGGAAATAAAGTAACTTTGGCATCAACACAAAAACCAAGAAACTGACTCAACGTACACTTCCAAAATATCGATCCAGCAATTCCACATAGCGGTGTATAATTTCAAAAGTAATCAGTTCATTGTCTTCAGGTTCGATGGCGCAACAGAAATAAAGGCTAGCATACCTAACGAAAGAGCTTAGGCAGGTGAAATAAGAAGTACCTCCGGTAGACGATTTTAAAATCCCGCCAGTCAAGAACAGAGCACATTTTAGGTTTTCTGCTCAAAATGACCGGTATAAGATCACGCAAAATCTTTTTTCTCTCTTTAAGTGCTGTAGACGAATACCATTTCTGCAATCGCACTTTGCCTTGCCGGCTGAAAAGCATAAAGAAGTTCATCTAACCAGACCCTGTCTGAACTGTAAATGGATAATTTACCATTTTGAAGAAGAACTAGGGGAGAATACTCAAGTGGATGCTCGATGAACAATTCACCGCCACTTAGAATGTCGAGGACATCTGCATTCTATGAACAGAAAACAAGTAGTGGACTATTAAATAAATAGAGAATGTTATCGATAATCGTAAACAAACAAGCGCAAATTTTGTCTATCGTTGAAACGACATGACCATGCAAAACAATACGGAAGTACATTGCGAGAGTATTGTAGTGTATTTGGGTGCTGGCTTTTATTTATTTGGAGCAAAAAGAACTGACGTAATGAGAAGATAGAAAAGGTTATTGACAGAAGTCGTCATGCGCAGTGTAAACTATGCAGAGGACTGATGCTGGAAAACTTCGTTCTCTAGCAGCAATAGGCTTTTTAAATATGCAAGGTGTTTGCTGAGTGCATTCTCTGTTGACGTGAAAATTCAAGGCGATTTTTAAAAGCCTCCGAATGCAATAACGCTCGGCGCGACCATCGATTAAATAGTGGAAGACTTCTCGGCTGCTTATGAATCCTCTAGAAACAGTGAAGACGGAGATAACGCGCTTAGACAGGCCATCAGTTATATGAGATAACCGTGCTTCGATCGAATCTTTAGATTATTAACCGTTCCGAACGGCGTACTTGGGCGTAAAAAACACTGATCTTCTCGGAGGTTTTGAAATTGTTTGTTTTCTCTAGCTTTTGTTACGCAGTATAACGTTGGTTCCATCTTATGTCCCATCGGTAGGAGAGTTAGTGAAAGGCAATAGAGAATTAAAGTATGCTGGATGATATGTGCTATTATAATAGCATAACCAACCCTTAACATCAATAAACGTCAAAACAAAATATTCAGGTAAGAGTTTAATAAGGCAAAAAACACGAGCTAGGGATATGAAAAACACATCAAAAGTTTATTGATCATGACTCCTTTCGCCACGAAACAGTGAGAAATTGCCAACCGATTGAATTCCAAATCTTTCGTCTAATAGTTAAAAGGCCAGAAAGCGGAATTTCATTCACCCGTAATTCACTATTTCGGAAAATAGAAAATCTTAATCATAACCACTATGGGCTAAGACCGGAGGTAACTTGATCGTAAAGCACAAGGCATCTTTTCTGTACAACTTGAAAGTTTAAAAAACCCAAAAACTGCATTGCTCAGAGCGTAATACTTAAGACACAAAAAGAAGCGCTATCGAGTCGATAAATGACTTAATCAGTCTGATAAGAGCACATAAGTTATCTACGGATCAAAATATCTCGCCTAGTAGTCTCGATTTTTTGCTCAACTGTATTGCATTGTACCATGGTACAACAACAGGTGCACCTGTTGACAGAAAATAGTCCCGATCAATTAAGAGAAAAATCGCGTCACATTACCGAAATTCCTGTGTTTTCACTTCAAATTCTTCGAAATAACGCAAAAATTAGATTTAAGGCATAAAGCGGGACGATTCAAACCCACTGGCTTCTCTGTAAATACCTTACAACCGTCAATTAATGCAATAAAATAAGAATTTCGAGAAGCTTCTGGTAGGCCCGAGTTTTAGTGTGTAAATATTATTAGATATTGGTTCTATCTAAAGAGGCTGACAATACTAAAGTCCGACATCCAGATGACATCAGATGCGCATAATTAGACGAAAACTTCGTACTAAAACAAAAGTGGGAACGGCAGGATCGCGTTCGTAACTTGCTTTGCCGCTTTCATATGAGCATATTTAAATGCAATGTCAAGGTTGTTTGAGTCTAAGATGTTATTTAGGGATGTCTGTAAGTAAACATTTTCCAGTGAATGAGTTGTCCTTCATATTTGTTTTTTGTAGCCTTTGTATATTTCACTAAATCCTTTATTTAAAAGAAAGACGGAATTTATCTCTGAGGCATGGGCAGCACAGAAAGATATTAATACACAAGCACACTGGAGTTTTAAACAGGTGGCTGAGGAGCAATTAGCACGTATCCAGCTTGCAAGATCCCAAAGTCTGCTAACAATTTTATGTTAGACTATATGCATCATTTTTTTGGCACATATACATATCGCATACCTATGCTTCAGCCCACTCCTATTTCTCGGTGTGTAATATGGCCGACAACCGCAATTTTTCAGATATTTAGTTACGTGGAATTTTGCCTATATCACACGCCTTGCGTGTCTGTTGGTGGGGCTTAAGTGGGGGCCCTATTGCATCTGCTCTATCGCGACCGACAGGACAGCGAGTCCGTGGCTCAATGGCTAAGGCTTTGGACTTCTGACTAAAAGGTCGTTGCGTCGAGTCCTGAGCGCTGCGCACCTCGGGGTCAGGTACGGGTGGCCAACGACGGCCAACACAACAGAAATGACCATCCTAGTCTTTCTTGTCTTTCTCGGTAATGCGCTTCTAATTACCTACTATTCTTCGCCAATATATGACATATGGCTTGTCTTTAATGCTGTTATTACTAATCAGTGGAACACTGGAAAATGGTAGTGTGCAATTCCCTCTGACAGCTGAAGTCCTGTCAAAAAATGTATAGCAGGGCTGAAGTCAATATGCGTGACAGAGCTTACGGAATTGATTTAAGCCTGTTCTGCCCTGAAATCGCATTCTTCTTCACAAATTGACGGGACCGCACCCTCATTAGACTGCCGTTCCAATGGAAGATGTATTTCGCATTTTCGGACTGGGTTCAAACTCGTGGATTTTCACAGACTCGACTTCGATCCGCACACTAATGTTTGCATCTTCGAGCTCAATTCAAGTTTGATATGCGCCTGAATTGTTTTTAGGCCATGTTCTTAGTCCAATTTTTGCATTTTTAATAAGATCTTTGAAAACATTGACTGAAACCAAAAACACGTTTCTGATGACGATCGACCTCTAGCATCATACTTTAGCAAAACCAGGTAACAACCAGAGCACTAATAATACTCACATCCCAAAAGTGGAAATTCATCGAGTTGTCAAACCCTAGACAGTACCTCTAGGCAGCGAAATAAATGCATCTGGTTTAGAGCACTGTTTTGCATCCGCACAAAGCAATCGGGATTCTGCACTGGAAATTGGTTATCCCTCTCAACTGGGTAGGTTATCGAAGGAGAAGAGAGCCTCACAACAGACTAAAGGACTCTTTGACTCGTAGCGTAGTTATATTTATTAAGAAAATTTAGAATTATCCCACTTAAAGCAGCCAACTCATCTGAGTTGGTTGACAAACTGTTTCTTTTTACCTCTTCCGCGAATGAGTGAATTTGATAACAGTTGTAAATTGCTAACTAAATAAATCAGCAGCAAGGCAAGGGTTTGTGTCCGTAGGCTCGCTGTTCAACATGTTGAATAGTCAGCTCCATCACTGGATGAACTGACTGTCGGGCCGCTTCTCGACTACTGAACGCCATTCACGCTAAGGTGAACTCTGTCACAGTAACCCTCCTCCGCAGGGACAAAGGCGTTGGTCCAAATAAATGAACAGGAGTCTGAAAACTGCGCCTTCACTGACAGTTTTAGCGTCTTCTGAATACCTAACCCGAGAATCATTGCTCCATGAAAGTGGACTACATGACTAGTTTCTCAGTTGTGCATGAAAAGTTAGCGAATTCGTCCAGATAGTACCTTTGATCAAGACGACCTGATGAAGACGACTGCTGAGTTCTTAATAAGCGGAATTAGGTCACTTAATAATAATTTTTTATTAAAGACCCGTCGGGGTCGTATCAAAGCACCACATAATGCCGCGAAATTCCTTACTAAATTCGCCATCCCTCTTCTCACAAATTAGGCAGTAAGCGATTTACTTTTCCTCCGTTTTGCATAAGGATTTTCTAATAACTCGCCTTAGAGTTAAGACGTAGCCGTGGGAATTTTAACAAAAGTTAGCAGATTTGAAGCCCGACCCCACAAATACTATTAGAATTTCGGTTCTAAACATTCAAAATTTTCATGAAGCTTACCTCATAAACTTTGTTTACGAACAGAAACTGAGACTAAAGTTTCTCCAGCAGAAAAGGAAAACTACGAGGAGAATGTCGTAATTGCTCGAAGCTGAGAAGTCTGTTTCTAGACAAGAATGCCTAGGTTTGATCACCAGCACTTCGTTACCACAAAGGAGCACGCCGTCTGTAAAAAGATGACGTATAACGCTATGACAGGACCTCGAATGGTGTTTTATAAATTTTTTATTCTATTTTATTTATTAACTGTTTGCATTTATCCAATGATATGACACTTCCCGCGTTGACCTAGGATAGTGATGGTGTAATTGTGTATCGAAAAAATGACCGGTGCCCTTCCCTCTCGTTACTGCCGAGCCCTCCCCGCAACTCCCCGCAACGTTCGCTTCTCTCTCTTTCTCTCTACAACTCCGCCTGCAGTTGCCCACATGATGCATTCCAACCGGCAGGCATGTCAGCTTCAAATCATCGGCTTTGCGTAACTCATGCCGTTTGCACACTTAGCTACTAATATATGGCTTCCTAGTTTTTATCTCGTTCCATTATACTTTTATGCCTGTCTAATATTTCTTCCATTTCGTGTGGATGATTACTACGACAAGTTAACAGGTCTAGTCAGATTGATCTTAATCACGGTCTCTCCCCGGTGTGTTATCCTTGACGTCCTCGGCCGCTACAAACGCTTGAATTAAAAATAGTGAACTACGACGATGCACGAGGAGCGTGAGATGTAAATGTTGTTATTGAAATAAGCAAACCACTTGAGGCCATTTTATAATTTAGGACGTGCAAGCATAATAATAAGAGGCTTATGAACCAGCCAGAACAAAAAAATCAATTTACCGTCAGTTGGTTAATCGACCAACCCCTGTTAAAAATGAAAATTGATGTGGGTTAGTGTGAAATATGGTGATTAGATGCCAAAGCCGGATGCAGCATGACTTAAAGCGCAACTGTTCGTGCTAAAAATTGACAGTTTACAACAATGTGAATAAATCCTGGAGAATCCTGATGTAACAACTCCTAGGGACGACTTCGGCAAAAAGCTGGAAGTGCCAAAAGTTTATGATCTAGGTAGAGAACAAGGCTTAGTTGTGCCAACGACAGGGCTGATTCTCAATAGCGCTATCAACTCAAGCGATTCCCTATCAGTCGACCGCGATTGGCGGATTGAGCCCGCACTGTGGGAAAGACCACTTGTATTCCCTGTTTGTCTTTTATTTTCCTGTTAAAAGCCAACCAGCGTGATATAGTTGGCTACAAGCACGTTGTGGGTCGTGTACGAAAAACAAATGACCGGAAAAATCCATTCGTATTTCCCACCGGCTACCGAATTGGTCCTGCCCACCCGAAATGTTGAATAACATCCTCATCGGGTGGAATAGCCAAGGCAATTTGTGATACAGGATGTTTAATAGACCACAAAACTGTTGTCTCAACGCTGATGCCTCGACTGTAATCTCGTGGACCGTTGTATGGTAAGGAACTATTGGTAAATAAAAAAATCTAATTATTAAGCACGACGTAATGCAAACTGCATCCTAACTATTGTTTAAATCCCAAACGGTAACAAATGAAAATGCAGGAAGAAAAGGCCACTACTGAGATGCAAAGGAAATGCCCCGAGACGTCATCCAAACTATCTCACTTGAAGCGCTCGGTTGGGCACGTTGAGAGCACCGGACCTGGTTCGAAGACTGCACCAGGAAGTTCTTCTTTTGTACTCTGAGATGGGCAGCTTCATACGACCTATACCAACAGCATAACCGATGCCAGTAAAGCAGCCTTTCCCGATGCTGAGACCTAATGTAACAGAGAATGACGGAGGTACGCACTGATTGAATGACTAGTAAGGTCGAAGAAATCGGAGGCTATGCAAATCGCAAAAAGCAAGAAACTTCCTGACGTCCATTAAAAGTCTGCGCAACACAAACTATCGCACCGCAGCAAAGGTGAGGAACAATCTTCATTCCGCATTTTGGTACCTGACAAGGATCTTTGACTCAGTCAACCGCAATGTACTCTGGAATGTCGTGCTAGAGTCCAAATGCACGGAGCGATTTACGACGATGACAAAAACATGCACGACGACCTAACGCGTGCCAGAGATAATAGCTCGGAGCCATATGCGATGACAAATTAGAGGAATGAGGGTACTGTAGAAGCCCCAACCTTCTTCGGTATCCTATTCTCCCCAATGTTTATAGAGATCTGTCATGGCGGGTGGCCAGGAAGCACCATTAATTGCTAGACCAACAAAAAACTACTCACTGTCGATGGCATGCAAACATATATATGAGCTCCCAACGCCTGCGTCCACGACCCCTTCCTCGCGGATGACTGCGCGCATAACATCTTTACGGAAGAGGACGTACAGCGGAGCGTAGACCGATTTGCCCCTAACTGTTTAAACTCCGAGCTGTCCATCAACATGGGGATGGGGATGGTGATGCATTGAGCCCCACACCCAGTCTATTGGTCGGTCCCTCCGTGCACATTCATTGCTAGGTCGACTGCAAGGTCTGCGCTGGATCGTCGGCTGGCAACATTTCAGACACCGGCTTTTAATGTGCTGTGATTGATTGTGATTTGTCTTTATCGGGGAATATGCGCGAAGAGTCGATCTTAATATCACTTCCCTCTCCTCCATTGTCCAAGCCGGTCTCGGTTCGGCGCACTGGCTGGTAGGGCGAAATGGTTGTTCCGCGCGTGCCGCACATGACCTGGTCAAAGACACAACACCAGGTTTGCGCGCAAAGGGGTGGTATACTCGGACCTCACATGTATCTGTGCCATAGATGACACATGGAGGGAGTGAAGAACACGCGTTTCACGTATGTAAGAGGTGCTGACTTGGTGCGCGCGGTGGGTGATGTGGGAGGGGTTAGTATGTGGTGCATGTGGTGAGGATGTGTGTGCTGATAGGGCTTAGAGCAGCGGTTTATCGCAGCTTCGTATGAAGGCGCGTGTCGCCGAGTGGACCTATGCGGTGACTGAATGTCCGTGAGGGGTGTGGACGTCTGAAGTAGAAGTACGCTGGTGCTCTAGGTGTTGGTTCGCTGGCCGCAGTACGATAGATTAGCAAGTGTGTAGTGGTCCAACTCCGAGCGCCTGTCTCAACGCTAGATTTCTCGCGCGTGTGCACGTGCGCACCAGGGTTGCCTGTCATTCGCTCACTCGGTTCTTCAACTGGCCAATCAGATTCAAGGCCGAGTCAGACATGTCCGGGCTTAAGACGCTGTGACGCATTCTCTCAGTCACTTGGGGACGCCGCTCATCCGGCGCTGGACGTGCCCTCGTCCGGCTGCCCCACTCTCCGCAACTCCTTATCCAGTTATTCTGTACAGAATATATTCTTATGCCCACTGGCGCCCGCCGTCTCCTCCCATTCGGGACCGGGACTGAAGGTCGTATTACCCAAGCTCTCACACAAGGCGTAGGCTGCCGCGATAAATGACCGACCAGGCCGATGCGTGCTATGAAAATGAGACTGCAAAAAAGACGTCTACAAACACAAACTTCTCAACTCACACCTCGTGATCCAGTACTCACTTAGCTACCCTCTCAACCTCACCATCAACGGTTGAAGTCACACCCATCTCCACACCCAATTTTACCACCTATAAAGTCACGAGTTTACTCCCTGGATTCAGTGTCATGGCAGACAAGATCATCTAAAATTCGCTGAGTGGACATCAACACTAAAAACGTTAGTACCCAAAACGTTCAAAGACATGTGGGCGGTGGAATTCACTATGTTTAACCATACTTTGTTGAAATACAGCAGGTGGGCTAAATCATGAAATGCCAACCGAAGTTCCCATATGTGTTTTCGCCCCAAAAAGATTAATTAAGTAGGATTTTGAAATTAATCATCCAACAGCATAATTCTTTAATTATCCATTTGCCTCAGGATGCCGGCTTTCGAACGAACTTCTTTCCGGCTGCATGCAAAAGCTATGACTACTTATGTAGCATGCATTCTTCTCATTGATTTTCGATGTCCAAAAATGACTACTTATGTGGCATGCATTCTTCTCATTGACTTTCGATGTCCTTAAAAATACAATTGTATTTTACGAAAAACAGGCATAAGATTATTCATTCTCTTGCTCATTCGGCAGAGAATTACATCTCATTCTTATACTCAGAGGAAGGGTATGACTTGGTTTTAAAAAAGTTTCGAATTGTGAGATTTTTTAATACCGTGAAATGACCGTTCATAAAACGCCACGTCTCTCCCTTTACCAATGTGGCTTTTAAAGCTAGCAATATGGTTCAATTCCACTGCGAACTTTTATGAACTACAAATGGTCTTCTCTTAATACCGTAGCGAAACGTATGGTTTTCCGTGCGCGGAAAATGGACGGCTTGTAGATTGAAGACCCCGAATGCAAGTGCAACAGCAGGTTGGCTTCAAAATTATTCAGGAATTGGGAGTCTTCGAAAACTGAATCATACCCTTCCTCTGAGTATAAAATCTCGGTTGATATTTCGTGAGTTAGCCCACCTACTGTATCTGGCATCTTCGGATACGTCATTAGATGATCAAAAACAAATGTCTACAAGGCTCCCAATGGATCGTTTGCACTCCTAATGCTCATCTTCGGCATGTCTGTGTAAACAGCGAATAAACATATATCGCACGAACATTTTCTCGCTGTTTGTAAATACGTGCTTATGAAAGATGGATGTCAGTGTGGTACAAGGCACAAATGGTTTTTCTAGAAGTTTCTCGCGAAGTCAATGAAAAGCCTGCATCACAAATCTCCGCAATCCTCTTTTATCACTATTCGCTAAACTGGAAAAATCAAAGCCCCTGCAGTGAGGTTCATTTACGGCACTGGGACGCAGCTACTGTATTACAACGTGGCCTCTGTTTGCCCGTGTTGTAAAAAACCATCGACAGGGTACCACATCACCGACTGATGTATAAACTTAAAACAGTGGGCATCAGGGTTGGTTAAAAACTTACATATCGGCTATTTGTGTAAACAGAGGCCTAATGTTGCATCTGTTCTCGGGGCTCAGTACGTAAAGGCGCCGTGTTTCTGACATGCGTAGACGGTATGGTAGGGGACGCTCACCGATCGTTCTTACGGAACTCACTCGTTCCGTTGTGCCTTAAGGGCTCTCTCTCGAGCCCAACCAGCAGCCGCACAGCGGCGCATGATATATAGGCAGAACGGTATTACCGACAGAGACAATGGGGACTGGAATTGTCATTTCTGGCGTATTAGCCGTCGTCGGCCAATCATACCCAGCCCCGAAGTGTGGAACACCCAAGGCTCGAAGTCGCGACTTGTTAGTTAGATGTCCAACGCCTCTAACCACTGAGCCACGGGCCCGTTGTCTTGTCGGTTGCGCGATCGGGAATATGCAAATTAACAACAAATCACCGCTGTGGGTTCGTGGCTAACCATTTGCTAGCGAAGTGTTATCAGGACCGACTGAAGCACAAGACAATTAGGGATAACAAACTGAGAGGGACCGTTTACTCTATGATTAGTATACAGTTTAATTACACTGTTTAGCCACAACCTTCCCACGACGAGCAACCAAAGGCCGACAGAACCTCGCAGCAGCGTTGTGCAGACATCGCGTATAAACGACAGGTTTCTTCTTGCATTTCATCGACTTCGTAAATTTGCCCCAGCTCGAGGCGGTTCTCCCAGTAACGTCCCCTGTTTAATCATATTACCCTCAAGCCACCTGTCTTCGTTTCGCACCCTACAACGGTTCTACCGTAGTTTCTCACGAAGTGTGCACCATAGCTGAGCGAGGCCAGGGACGGTGATTTGCGAGTGGATTAATTTACAGAGATAGTAGACTTGCGCAGCACCTGCGGCCCTTTCTCACCCTCTTGGGCCCGGTGTCAAGACACACCCAACAAGACTGACAGCGGGACCTGGTCTACGTGCTCGGTGCGGCTTGAGCCCGCACGCAGGCGTGCCACCCCAACCCCGTGCGGGGCATCTGTAATGGGTGCGCAGCCCAATAACCCATGGTGGACCCTGATCTGCACCCCCCTGGCCCATTGCAGGGGGGCACTCGAGCGGCAAAAGTCCCACATGAAGTAAATTCCATTGCTAATCAACTGCACATAGGGCCGTCCAGTGCACACAATCTACGAAGGTCATAACTGCATCTGTTTACATGCACAGAAGCCCTACAGTAGGTTGGCTAACTCATGAAGTGTCAACCGAGACTTCGAAATGCGTTCTCGTTTCGAAAAGATTAATTAAATAGGATTGTAAAATTAATCATCAGGCAGCATAATTCTAGGATGATCCAGTTACCTCAGGGTGTCGACTTTCGAATGAATTTATTTCCGGCTGCATGCAAGAATTTTACACGACAAAAATGACTACTTAAGTGGCATGCATTTTTCTCATTGATTTTCGATGCCCTTGAAGATTCAATCATATTTCATGGAAAACACGCATACAAATATTCATTCTCTTACCTATTCGGTAAAAAAATCACGTCTTCTTCCAATTTTCCAACTTTTCTAACTCCCGAATAATTTTGAACCCGACCTGCTGTTATACTTGCATTCAGGGCTTCAAAACTACAAGCCGTATATTTTCCGTGTACGGAAAACCATACATTTCTCTACGGTATTAGGAGGAGACTATATGGGGTCCATAAAATTAGGCAGTGGATTTCAGTAATATTGCTAACTTTACAAGCCACATTGGTAAATACAGATACATGACGTTTTATGAACGTCCATTTCACGGTATCAAAGAATCTCACAATTAGGAACTTTTTTAAAACAGCGTGATACTCCTCCTTCAAGTATAAAATTGAAAGAAGATGTAATTTTCCACCGAATAAATAAAAGAATGAATATTTTTATGCATTCTTTTCATGAAATATAATTGAACTTTTGGGAGGATCGAAGATCGAGGAGAAAATTACATGCTGTTTAAGTGGTCATTTTTTGCGAATATAGTTCGATCATGTAGTCGGAAATAAGTTCATTCTAAAGAAGGCACCCTGAGGTAAATGTATCATTATATAATTATGTTGCAGGCTAATTAGTTTTACAACCCTACTTAATTTATCTTTTCGAAACGAGAATGCATTTCGAAATCTGGGCCGACATTTCATGACCTAGCCCACCTTACTGTACGTCTAGGATTTCTGGTTGAGTCACGCGCCCGAGAATAAAACCAACAACTCTAAAGGCTGTTCGGCACAGTGTTAGCACAGGTAGGTGCCGAACACTATCGAGCAAACTGTGGATTCTAAAATTTCCCTACCATTGTTAATGGATGGCATGGTGGCTCATGAAAAAAAAAACAGGCTGAATGAGTCAAGCAGAAATGTGATATGTCAAAAGGCATATGTACATGTTGGCATTTTTACAAAAAAGTAGTCATAGTAGACCAAGGGCACCGCTCCGGCCAGGATCAGGAACAAAGGGTGGCAACCGTAGCAATCAGCGGCAGGGCATAATTCGCAAGTTCTGATTTTGCGGCGAAACTGTCAGCAGAGTCGGAGAGGGCTGTCACTCGTGGATTCAGTGGAAGACGCCCTAAAGCGGAATGGTAAATAAGAGTCGGCTACTTGGTTTTATCGGGTGGTAGAATAATGACAAGAGATATGAGATCTTCCACAGTTCGGCCGTCACATCCGATGATATCCACCGTGCCTGCTTCACAGCGACGTGAAGCAGGCACGATGGCTTGCGCATGACTTAGTTTATAGTGAATGTAGACTTGCACAGCATCTATCGCACTCTCTCCTCCTCCCTACCTGAACCCGATGTCAAGACATAGTCAAGAAGACCAGAGACGGGGGAGGGCGCAGGTAGGTGGCACGGCCGGGCCCGCACCTTGGAACTCCACACCACAGCACCTGGTCCACACAACAAATGGCCAGGATTTTAACCAACAACAGCAACATCACAACGGGCCAGAAAGACGACGAGGATTACCGGGCAGCCATACCCATGCCCAGCGGGAGCACAAGCGCATCTACCGGCAGGGAACCAGGTGTCGGGGAGCTTCCAGTACACACCAGGCTGTGATCCTGGCATAGCAGACCCTTACAGGGGCTCTTCCTCCCTACATCTGCCCAGTCATTGAGCTATCGTGGCATATTAAAAGTCCTGGCTTAGAAGACCGCCAACTGACGGGATAACTTGGCCCTCCACAGGTTACAATGGCTTTTACCGATACAGCTATGAGATCCGGGCAGAGGAAATCGGGCTCGTAGGAGCCGAGCCACCAGCCACCCTAATCTTGTCTGACCAGAGGAACACAGTGCGCGTGGGAGGAGGGAGTGAGGTAGATGCTATGCAAATCTGGACCACTATAATTCAAATCATGCGCAAGCTATCCCTACCTTTGCGGAGAGTGGAGTTCGCCGTCGATATCCATAGAACGAGCAGCCATTGTGCGCATGATACGATTTAAAAGGCAACTCTGGGGAGCGTAGACCGATTCAACTGAGGTGTGCACAACAAGCTATCCTGAACATCTATATTCAGGCTACTGTGGTTATCAGTGTTATAATTCTTGTCAGACCTGGACAGAATGCTATGCCAGACAGTCTTCGGGAATGGCAGGCCCTCACCCGAACAGAAATT